CTTTTGGCTTGGTTTTCAAAATTCATGATGTGCGTGTTCATGAGTTCCTTTGTTGGGTTTGTCCTACTTTTTGTTGGATGAGTTTTGCTTTGGCATAAGCATTTTGAGATAGTATTTGTGTTGCATATCTTTCTTGGTTATGGAGAGTATTTATCAATAGTATTCTTGCATAGTTGAGCATTGTTTGCTCCTACCTTCCTTGAGTCTCTTGATTAAGGACTGATCGAGTATATTGAATTGTGTCCTTGCTATTCTAGTGTGGGTTGTTATTTAATTTGAGTCTTTTATAGATTATGTGTTATTTGCTTGATTTTAGTTAAAGAGATAGAAATCCTTAGATAAACAATCATCTTACTGTGAAATTTGCATTTCACGGGGAAGACAAATTATCTCCATACTTTCTCGTTTGATAGTTGGATTAACGAAATTTGCTTCATCTACGAGATTGCTATCACCTTTAGTGCTATTTTTTAACCATTTATAAATGGCCATGCAATTTATGTTCTTTTTTCCTAGTTGTGAAAGTATGATAAACAGATATATGATCAATGTTGTACAATTATTTTTTATGCGACAAATGGAATAATTGGGGTGATTGGATGGAGCAGTGTGTTTGGGGATGCCCTTTAAAATGTAGTCTCATCCAAAATGCCCGAATGAAGCAAAACAATAACTCTGATGAGTACCATCCAAAAAAGGTTTTGCATGCTTCAAATAGAAAGAAAGAGAGATACAAAATGTGAAATTTCAACTATGGAGATAGAATTCACTGTTCTTTTGCGTAATTTCCCAATGTTCTTTCTTGTCATCCGCAATAATTCACTGTTGTTTTCCAAGAATCAAATTATTTTGCGAAATCTTGATAACATTCAAGATCTCTGTTTTTTTCTTTGCAGTAGCTGCTTCACCTCGCAAAGGTAAAATTTGGGTAAAATTTGGGCAAAACAATAACACTGTTGAGTACCATCCAAAAAAGGTTTTGCATGCTTCAAATAGAAAGAAAGAGAGATACAAAATGTGAAATTTCAACTATGGAGATAGAATTCACTGTTCTTTTGCGTAATTTCCCAATGTTCTTTCTTGTCATCCGCAATAATTCACTGTTGTTTTCCAAGAATCAAATTATTTTGCGAAATCTAGATAACATTCAAGATCTCTGCTTTTCTCTTTGCAGCAGCTGCTTCACCTCGCAAAGGTAAAATTTGGGCAAAATCAAAGTATAATTTTAAAATTTTCACTCCCACTTTATTCGTGTATAATTTTAATTTGTGTTCTGAAATTCAATGCACTTTGTGAGATTTTTCATTTTTACTGAAGAAAAACCAACTTATCCAAGCATAAATCTGAGTACATTATTTGTAACTAGCATTGGTTGCACTACACGAGGTGCGGTGTTCGGGGAAAATATACCCGATTTATTATAGTATTGTGAAATCTATTGAAATAAATTATCTGCATTTTTTTTCTTTTTGTTACTCTCTTCATCACCAAGTGCGTGTAAACTCAAAACAGAGAGCAATTTCAAATAAAGAGATGATATTATAGATGCTAATTGATATTCACAATTCGGGAGCACCTCTGAATCTAAAATGCATATGAAGAAACAAGTTAGACATACTCAAACCTAAAATATACAACCACTATTTTTATTCTCATCTCCTCTAATACATGTTAGTTAAAAATACAGCCAGTATTTTCATTTTCATCTCTTCTAATACATATATTAGATGAAATTGTTGTGTATATGTGCTAGCTGCAACGTAGAGGTGAACTGCAACAATCATTTGAGTCTCAAGGTAGCTCCCTCTATGCAGTCCTGTCCTGTTTGAGCAATGTATGAGGTAACGTCTAGCAGGAAAAATGGCTGCTCCATTCCTCATAATTTGCAAATCGCCATCTGTAAAAGTTGGGAGTCTTCCTGTATAAGTTATACATCATGCAAGTTTTCTAATCAACACGTGTATTTCCATGGAAACAAAGATATTTAAGAATTAGATGAGTGTTGTCTTTATATTCATTGGTTGAGGCTCGTGAAAGTTATATGAATGCTAATCCTACAAACAAATACCATCTCAAGGCCTTCTATCCAAGATAAAATAACTGTAAAAAAATATACAATCTAACCACCGTTGTATCTATCCCGAACTCCATCCAATGAAAGTAGTTAAATTTCAGACAAAGACAAATTTGAAAGCTGGTTATTCTTTGGCCAAGTTACAATCATCAAGTCAAGTTACAGCATCCACAAGTTAGTAATTGATAACCTTGGAGTGACACTAATTACTTCACTTTGGTGATGACGTCTTCAACCTCTGTTTTGCCTTATTCTGTTTCTTCTTCATCTGGAATGCCTTAGTCTCAAATTCCTTGTTTTATGATTATCCTCTGTTTTTAAATACATTCAAGAAAAAAAAATAAATAGTAAAAAAAAAAACAAAAAGAGGAACCACCTCTGGCTTTCTTGTCGATGCTACGACATTTGTGATACGTTTACCAAGCAAGTCTACTATGATTAACAGTAAGTACAGCAAAATTTAGAATGTGAAACACACAAATGTCAATTGTCCACATGATCTGATCATCCTTTACATATAAATTAATTTAGCTACAACTGTAAATCAAACACGCATTATCAGACCTAGGAAAATGTCAAATTGATAATTGTAGCAATTTTAGCTTTCACAAAGGCAAATCAGAGAACAAAATTGTTCTCGATCTCTTTTTCCTTATTATCTTGAGACTATAAACAAACACATAACATGCAGTCCCTCTCAAGTAAAGTTTTAACGTGACATGAAGTGACGGAGAAACAGGAGATCAGAGACTTAAGGCGAAGGGTGAGCTTTTAACTAAACTCATAAGCAACCATTTTATAATCATTATAACACTGCAAAATCCAATTCCAGAGGCGTAACACCAGTTTGACCCAAAAAGAAATACAAATAGAAGCTTACTTACAAATTTAAAGTCAGGATCTTTTTCATCTTCTTCTTCTGCTCCGTGGATTCGAATTCTTTTTTTTTTTTTTTTTATGAGGAACGGATTCGAATTCACACGCCAAACATCTTACTTTGAATTTTGTTTGCCGAAGCAATATCATTGGATCCTGAACAAAATTGGAAAAAGATTTGAACAAGAAGAAATTGAAGAAAGAGGAAAAGCAGGGAAGACTGAAGAGAGAGTCGAAGAAAGGGTCAATGTATCGTAAACCCAAGGTGATTTTCAATTTAGCTAGTACTATTGCTGGCTATCCTTTGAAGGTTCCCACCACATATCACGAGGCTTGTAAGTTTGATGAATGGCAGCAAGCAATGAATGATGAGATTGCTGCCTTGTCTCGCAACAATACTTGGACTCTTGTTCCTAAACCTCCTGATGTTAATGTGGTTGGCTCGAAATGGGTGTTTCGGGTTAAAGAAAAGTCTGATGGTTCCTTGGATCACTACAAAGCTCGTCTTGTTGCTCAGGGGTTTTCTCAGCGTCCTGGTATTGATGTTGGTGATACTTACAGTCCCATGGTTTGCGCTGCCACCATTCGGACTGTCCTCTCTCTGGCTCTTTCGCGTAACTGGCTTATTCATTAGCTTGATGTCAAAAATGCATTTCTACATGGACTCTTGACTGAGCCTGTCTACATTAAACTACTACCTGGCATTGTTCATCATCAGCATCCGGACTATGTGTGTAAGCTCAATCGTGCTCTTTATGGTCTCAAGCAAGCACCTTGTTCCCGGTTTCACCGGTTTGCTTCCTCTATTGCTTCGCACGGTTTCTTTTCTTCCAAGTCTGACTCATCTATGTTTATTTATCACCGTGCTGCAGATATGGCTATTCTTTTGTTTATATGTTGATGATATTATTCTTACTGCCTCTTCTTCTTCCTTGTTAGCATCCATTTATTGCTACTTTATGGAAGGAATTCGCTATGACTAACTTGGGTGATCTGCACTACTTTCTTGGTATCTCTGCTATCCGTACTCCTGATGGTCTATTTTTGTCCCAATCTAAGTATATAGCCAATTTATTAGATCGCTGTCAACTTTCTTCGGCGAATTTGTCCCATACACCTATTGACAGTAAGAGTAAGTTGTCTCAGACTGATGGTGATTTGTTTCCCGATCCTCATGAGTACTGCAGCATTGTTGGAGCTATTCAGTATATCACTTTTACTCGTCCTGACATTGCTTATGCGGTGCAACAAGTTTGTCTTTTCATGCACGAGCCTCGTGAACCTCATTATAAGGCCGTCAAGCGTATTCTTCGCTCCTTGAAGGGTACTCTTCACTATGGCCTCACTCTCCGGCCTACTTTGCCTGATCAGCTTGTGGCTTATTTTGACGCAAACTGGTCTGGTTGTCCTGATACTCGACGTTCTACGTCTGGCTACTGTGTCTTTCTGTTGCTAATCTTGTTTCCTGGTACTCTAAACGGCAACCTATTGTTTCTCGTTCCAGTGCTGAGGCTGAGTATCGAGCTATTGCCAATGCAGTTGCTGAGCTTTGCTGGTTGCATTCTTTACTCTCAGAGTTGTCTCTTTCTCTGTCCACCGCCATGGTTGTTTTCTGTGATAATGTTAGTGCTATTTTCATATCCACTAACCCTGTTCAGAATCTTTGCACGAAGCACGTCGAGATAGACATTCATTTCGTCCGCGAGAAGGTGGCCCAGGGTGATATCCGTGTTCTTCATGTCCCCTCTTCTCGTTAGTTTGCTGATATCATGACGAAAGGCTAACCTCATGTTTTATTTACAGATTTTCGTACCAATTTGAATGTCCGATTACCTCCCGTTCAGATTGTGGGGATGTTAATGTATATATATATATTAGAGTTAGTGTAGGAGCATTGTTGTAATTCTACTATAATTATGTACACTATATATATGTTAAATCAATACAGAATGACCTATCACACATTTTCAGGTTATTGTCTAAAGATCAAATCCTTTTTTTTGTATTGGTGACCACAGTTGACCGGGCGGAATTCTTGTTCCTTAGAGATATGGATATTTGGGAGAATTTATCCAAGGCGGAGTTGCTGAAACAACAAAAAGAAGAGACCCTTCAAAATTTCATGGGTTTCGTGAATTCCGAATGGAAGGATTTTGAAGATCAGTTAATATCTTCAAAGGCCTGCTTGACTGAATGGTTCAGTGAAGAGGGACTGAAGTCGGATGAAGAATCGATCCGGGCAAAATGGGTTGATAAAGGGTACAAGATTTTGAATGGGGTAGCGGAGAAGATAGAGATTGAGAGGGGTCTGTTTGAAAAAATTCAAGACTCTGTAGATGAAAAGATGAAGTATTTAGTTTTTCAAGAAGAGCAAATCAAGGGTTTGTGCGAAAGAGACAAAAGGGAATTCAGATCTCTGGTGAAATGTTTGGAGGAGAGGGAAATTCAAGTAGAATCGAAGGAGAGTCTTCTCCAGGAAAGGGAAAATGAGCTGATTGAAAAGGTTCAAGATGTGGAGAGAAGGGAAAAGGAACTTAGTTCCAGAGAGGAAATGGTTGGGATTAGAGAAAATGAGTTGGAATCCGAAAAGATGGTTATGAAGGATAGAACTTATAAGATTGATTCAAAGGAAATCTTTTTAATTAGAAGGGAAATGAGCTCTGTTTAGAGAAAGATGTTTTGCGCAGATGGAAAGATGAGCTTCGATTGAATAAGGAAAAGCTGGGAAGAACAAAGAATGAGCTTGATTGCAAGATGATAATGTTGAACAAAAGGGAAGCTGCTCTTGATTCCAGAGGAAGAACTTTGGAAAGAAAGGAATATGAGTTAGCTTCCCAGGGGGAACTTCTGAAGACATGGAAAGCTAGGCTGCAATCAGCAATGGCAGAGATTGCGAGAAAGAAAGATGAGCTTTCACAAAGAGAGAAATGATTGCAGGAATTGGAGAATGATGCTAAATCAAGGGACAAAGTTTTGGAGGAAAGATAAAGTAGCCTTTTTGCAGAGGAGAAGATTTTGGAGAGATGGAAAACTGAGCTTAATATCAGAGAAGAGATGGTAAACAGCAAGGAAATTGAGCTTGATGCCAATGAAAAACTGGAGACTTGGAGCGATGTTCTTGATTCGGTTGAAGATGAACTATATTCAACGTACTTGGATCGATGTACTTCAGAGAAACAAGTTCTGGAGAGAAGGGAAAATGAAGCAGTCTCCAAAGAGAAAGTGTTGAAGACACTGGAGGAAGAGCTTGATTCGAAAACGAAGAATTTGAACACGAGGGAAACGGAGCTTGATTTTAGAAATAGGTCACTGGGGGAGAAGGAAATCGAGCTTGCTTCCAAAGAGAAAAGTTTGAAGAGAATGGAAGACAGGCTAAAGCTTAAAAGAATGGAAAATGATCTGTTGAAGTCTAAAAGTTTAAGTGGAGAAGAAGATGAACTTGGTATTTGTTCCAGAAATAAGTTGAATCCTAAAGAGACAATGTTTCAAGCTCTGGAAAATGAGCTTTATAATCTGCGGAAAGCTGTTGAAAGTAGGGAAAATGAGCTCGCCCTAAAATTAAAAGATCTCAAGTATGGAAAAGAAGATGACATATTTCGAGGAAAGCTTTCGAATCTATTATCAGAACTTGTTTCCGAGCATAAGTTTCTGTATCCATGTACCAACGAATTCGGTTCTTCAAATCCAAGTCAATCTACAGAAGATAACATTAGCAGTAAAAGATCAGGGAATTCCGTGTTGGACTTTAGAGGAAGTTTTGGTGACATGGATAAGGATGGAAGAAATAGTAGAAGTAGCTCTAAAAGAAGTTGTATTGATGCAAAGATCAAGGAAGAAAATGAAGGCTCATGATTGTAGCTAGCGCGCATTAATGTGAGAACCCTCATCCCAGATTGCAACTTCATCTTGAATCTCCTCCTCGTGGAACTTCAGGTTTATGTACATATGAAGGTTAAAAATCTGAAATTTTGAACCTTTTTAGCCTTCTTTTGCGTGTTTCAGGTTAGACTAGCATCACTGTAATTTCGGGTGTTTCTAACTTCGAGTTTAGTTACATGACTTGGCAAGTCTTCATTGCTCCATTATCTAGGAAACCTGAACATTTGCAGTTTCCTCCATATTCATTTTTGTTTTTGTGAGGAATGTATAGTCCTGATGCTGCAATTGTTAATTTGACACTCTACAAGCCACCCTACATTAATTACATCTAGTGCAGTAATTAGTCCACTTTTAATAGCAATAGAAATGGAGGAAGCAGAGAAATGGTAGAAGAAACACTCACCATCACTTATCTACTTGATGATAGTTTTTCTTGTGATCCTATTAAGGAACTGCTACGTTGTTCAGTATGCTCAACCACGCTTTTATTCAAGTCCCATTGGCAGACATAGCTATATGGTCATTTTGCTGCATAAATCCCTGGTAAAGAAATTGATCATTCTCTGTTTGAAATGCTTCAGACTTTGGTTGTTTTGGTTTGTCCCCTCTCAATGTAGTTATGTGCTTTTCCTGATGGACAGATTAGTCAGATTTAGCTGAATAGGTTAATCAGTTCTCGAATTAGTTCTTGTGGCTTGTACTGCTTATGGAAAAAGTCTGATGCTCTCTGCTTAGGTACTGCAGAAACATGGATATAACATATGCTCCTGAAATTTGTAGTACTACATTGCGCCGGCTGTGAAAATGTTTGTTTAGTCCTGAATACATTTTCATGGGTAGACAATGCTTGGTTGAAATGATATCAAAACGAACATGGTTGACAATTACCATGCTTGAGATTTATGAGCTGGAGATTCATCAACTGAGGTGTGAAATTCCGTGTCACATTGCTGGTTTGTTTTGGCTTTTCCCGTTATCACCTGCATCTGGTCTCTCTTATGTTAGCTAGCTTGAGATTCTGTAACCTCAAAATCTAACTGAGAATCAAGCCATTTTCATCTGATTTATTTGGCTTTTACTGAGACTTTTCATTTGGAACGTTAAGAATGCAGCAAGAGTTTTAGTCGGTTATCACAACAATGATCTGTCTCTTTTTTGGTGCAAAAAAAGGAGCACAAGTCTATATTCTTACGAGTACATTTCCGCGGCTTTACATTCCCTATTACATCATGCCATAATCATTGTCTAACTATCTGCTAAAAAGATGTTAATGAACACAATTAAGGAAAGGAAATTCAAGGAAAAATATTTGTTTTGGGGGAGATTCGAACCAGCCACCTCCATGTGTCATGCAAAGCATCTCGGGCTGACTTTCTTAGATGTTTCATAACTCAGCCCAATTTGAAACTTCTTGGCTAAAACTTTTGAACATGGCAATGTGTCACCATCAGTAATTTAACGAACCAATTTTAAAATAAAGAAAGGATTTCTTGGATTGATACTTTTCCTTACTGGCTGTCACATTCTAAACTACTTAAGGGTAAATAAGCTGTAAACAATTGTTTGGGTAATTTGTAATTAAAACATTCAGAAGATTACTCCCTCCATTTATTTTTATCAAATTATTAATTATATATATAAATAGTGAGTTTAAACAAATTTTTCGTAGTACTCTTTTTTGCAGTAACTCCTTATGAGGATAATAAAAAGACATTTGATTATTTTAATTAATATAATCAATATCATGTAGTTATTATTCAAATTAATGCTAATCAAGGAGCAATTTATATGGTGAACGTGGTTTACCATATATAGTGAACTTGTTTTAGGAATTGTATTATAATGTGCATAATACATGTACCAGTTTTTATTCCCATAATTTTTTTCATGATCTTTTCACCCATTCACTCATGCTTCAAAATCAAAACTGTAAATATATTCATCTTCCCCATGATTACACTGGCCAAATTTAGTAAAGTCAAGTAGAACAACATCTTTTGTGCCACCTCTTCAAAGTTTCACTTGTCCATTGAACTTGTCCGACTTCTCAATATAGCTAGCTGGAACTTTAGGCACATCAAGAACAGCAGTGGGAATAGCTCACATAAATGGCCATTTACATTTATGTGAAATCATTCTAAGTTTTTCACCCCTCCAGTAATATATAGGTTATAATGCTTACTTGCATGCTTGGTTATCTTTAGATAGCTTTGATCCTGTTTTCAATTTAATTGTGATGATTTTGCTAGCCTCATAGTTTGGGAAATATGGAAGAGAAAAAATAGGTACATCTATGAAGGTAATCCGATTTAGTGATTTTTACTTTAAAAGATCATATTACTAACTTTTTATGTGTTCATAAGTTTAAGGTAAAATCTACTCCCTCCGTAAGTCTTTTTAATTGAAATAAAAACTTTAAAAACATTTTATAATATTTAGGAGAACACAAAGAATGTAAAAATATATTTTTAAAGTTTTTTTTTCCTATTAAACAGATATCTTAGGTTAAACCTATGACAAAATCAAGATGCCTTATAATAAAGATCGGAGGGAGTATAAGGGAACAGAAAAAGCCGGAGGAAAATGTTCCATGTGAAGTTAGCTAAGCCAGAGAGGAAACGATTCAAAATCATACTGGCAATTTCCAAGCACGGGGTCTAATGCTCTCAATACATATGGCTCCCCACTTGGATCACTTGGTGAAACATGATTGAAATTTATCATTCGAGGAGACCAAGAAAATCTTATACATGCAGATAGCTAATATTTGGGAACAAGGTTATAACTTCGATGATGAAGTGAAAGCGATATTAGCTAGACTGGAAAAATGAGAAGTTTTTACAAAACAGATTCAAGTGAGATTAGATAATCAGACTTTGGTTGAAATGCTCTCAAAAAGGCATAATTTTTCCTTGGAAAAATCGTAATGCAATAAAACAGAAGGGGTTACACAATAACACAGGTGTATACCAAGAGGTGAACTCTAGCAGATTCATTCGCTAAACTAGTATTAGCAGGAACAACATGTCATGTCACGTGTAGAACTCAATTGCCACATTATATTAGGCTCACTGATGTTGGAAGATCAATCATTACCATATTTAAGCATCAGATAATCTTATCCAAGTAATTCATTAGTTTTGCTATGGAATAGTTTTATTGAAATTAGAACTTGGTTTTAATTGTTTAAACAGAGACGTTATGAGATTAATAGAAAATCTTCGTAAGACAATTTCTTAATATGACTATTACTAATTAGAATCTGTCATGGAATTCTTAGTAAATTTTTGTGTGACATGCTCTTTTTATTTTAAATTAATAAAATCTAGAGAATGCCCACCAGATACCGCCTTAGATTCTCTTAAAAAAAATTAAGAGAATATAATAAATGTGAATATACAGTTTTAAGATTTTATTTCCAATTAGAAGAACACATATATTAAACTAAATTTTGAACAAATAAAAATGACTTATAATATGGATAGGAGAGAGTAATTCCGATGAATTTGGTGGGGGGTTAATTATTTCAAAACGTATTAAGTTTATCACGTGAATTTTACATGTAAAACTCCTTGGTATTGTTGATTCTTTCCAGATGTAAAGGTTGTAACCTTTTATTTGCATGGTTAGCACTTGGCTACCAATAAAGGTTGGGTCATGCATGTTAAACTTGTGTCTGAAACCAGAGAACGTGGAACTGTAATTACGGTGGATTGTTGTCAGAACTGATTATTTGGAAACTCAGTCAGTCTATGCCTAAAACAAGAAAACAATCACTACAGGTCGTCCATTTTAGAAAACAAGATAACAATCACTACAGATGTTACAAGATTTGGCTAAAATTATAATAGAACGGTGCCATCATATAGATAAAGGTTAGATAAAATGTATGATGTATCATCGATCTTAATAAGAGTATTGTTTTATTATATATACTAGCGATAGATTTGGTAATTCTCATTTGATTATTTATTGTTATACTATCTTTTTGCTTCTTAATTTCAGTTCCAAACAATAATTGTATACGGTTGCTGTGGAGAGGGATTTTGCTTTTTTAATTTAGTTATTTCTTACAAAATTTCTATACCATTACGATTATAGCACAGAGATGCTAAACAGTAATCATAGTAGGAGTTAGAAAAGGAGGAAAAACTAGTTTTATTTTTTATTAATACTCCCTCCAGTCTTATTATAAGACATTTTGATTTCGTCCTAGGTTTAAGCTAAGATATTTGTTTAATAGGAAAAAAAAATCTTAAAAATATATTTTCACATTTTTTGTGTTTTTTTAAATATTATGAAATATCATTAAAATTTTTATTTCAATTAAAAAGACATCCTAGCTGAAACTTGGTACGAAATCAAAATGTCTTATAATAAGGACCGGAGGAAGTAATTTGAGACTTTAGTACTCATGATTTTAATGGCTTAATAATTCTACACGATTTTGAAGGTAGAATCTCAAATAATGAGATTGACTTTTAGAAAGTAGACCTACAAATCTAATAACCAGAGAAATGTCTTAGTGATAATGATAAAAACTTATAAACAGAAGATGTAGCATCAAATATACGACCGAAAAAGATGCAATTATAAATTTTTTCGTTTTCCGTTGTCCTTGTACTTTTTTTTTAGCCCGATGTCAACTCCCTTTCAAAGGGCAAAAATCGACCCACAATGAAGAGGCTAACTAGATTCAATAGAAGTCAAACTTATATTAACAAGCTAATGTTACTATTTTATTCTACTTCTAACTCTTAATTTGAACAATAAATAGTCAAACAAAGAGACGTGTATTATTGGTGGGTTACAATCATTGGCGGAGTAGTTTTTACTGCAAATTAATTATCATCTCATTAGCCAATTTTTTTCTTATTTCTTTTGTTTTGCACCATAAAAAATCTGCAAGTTCTTTTCTTTCTATTATCTTTCTTTTTTTCAAGTGAATGCATAATATTTGTTTTCAATGTACGACACTAATGTATATGCACAAACCTTCAACGTTCGTATGTGTCTTAGATTAATAAATCATTTTATAAAACATAAAAAAATGTAGCTAATATTCGAATTTATGAAATTTTGTTATTAATTAAATCTCAAAGGACGGAACCATATATAGAGTTATTAAAATTCACGAGTGAGACTTTATAATTTTTATTATTAGTAAGTAACATGAAAACTTATTGGCTCTTTTCATTGTTACTTATTAATTTGCTATTGTGCAATTTACAAATTTATTATTATTAGTTGCCTAAATGTATGATAAACCTTTTGTAATGGTAATAGAATATTCATTTGATACATTGATTCAGAAGGCATGGTGTCAAGGCCATGTGTTTATACGTCACTTTTCTGTCAACTATAGCAACTTTTAGAGTAACCATCGGTTACATACGTTACTTACTGTTCTTATATGATATCTTTCACCGAATTTCATCATCATATTACTTCAAACTCCCTGCTTTTTAGACTCTTCGGAGATAACAACCTTAACAGCATATATCTTACTACTGTATGATCCTTATCTGATACACTTCCGAATCCCGTTCAGCACAAACAATGGCAACATTGAATCTACTACTATAAGCTATTAAGCTTCAAGGAAAATATGTTTGAGTTCCTGGAACAGAAAAGTAACTACAGGGCTCATTATTCCAAGATCAAATCTTTTTTTTTTTTCCTTGCAAAGTTCAGCGAGGAACTAGTGATGTTTTTCGGGAAGATGGGATTTTTGGATAAGTTATCAAAGGCGATATTGTTGATCGAAGAAAAGAAAGAGACCCTTCATTGTGTGATGGGCTTGTTGATGCTTGAATGGAAGGAGTTTGAGGTTCATTTGGAATCGACCAAGACCTGCTTGGATGAATGCTTCAGTGAACTCCAAACTAAAGAAGAGCGTTTGCAGTCGGTTCAAGAATCAATGCTTCGTGATTTGGAAGATCTTAGGTTCAGGAATTTATGTGTTGAAAAGGGGCTCAAGCAATTAGGGGAGAAAGAAAGCTTGTTATATGGGGTATTGGAGAAGATAGAGATGAAGAGGAAGGAATTCAGTGAAATTCAATACTCTTTAGATGAGAGGCTGAACCATGTTGCTTTGCGAGAAGAGCATGTTGAGGGTCTATTGCAGAGAAAAGTAAGTGAACTCAGATCACAAGAGGAAGGATTGGAGAAAAAGATGGCTGATTTTTCTTCTTTGGAGAAACGTTTGGGACAATGGGAAACTGAACTCAAATCAAAGGAGGATCTTTTGCAAAAGAGTGGGGATGAGCTAATGGAAAAGTGGAAATTTTTTGGGAGAAGGGAAAAAAATCTGGATTCCAGGGAGGAAAATGTGGGAGTAAGAGAAAAATGGCTGGATTCCAAAGAGAGAAGTTTGGATAGTAGGAAAATGGACATTGAATCCAAGGAAACTCTTGTGAACAGAAGGGAAGATGAGCTTAGTTTAGAGGAGGATGTTTTGGACAACAGAAGAAATGAAATTAATTCCAAAGAACAAACTTTGAGGAGACAGGAAGATGAGCTTCGGGCTAATAAGGAAGCACTTGGAAGAATGAAAACTGAGCTTGATTCCAGGATGGAGACTTTAGACCAAAGAGAAGTTGAGCTTGATTCCAGGATGGCAATTTTAGACCAAAGGGAAGTTGATCTTGATTCCAGGATGGTGATTTTAGACCAAAGGGAAGTTGATCTTGATTCCAGATGTAGAATCTTGGAAAGCAAGGATGATGAGGTTAGTTCCAAGGAGGCAATTTTGAAGAAATTGGAAGATAGGTTGAATTCAACTAAGGAAGAGATTGAGAAAAAGGAAAATGAGCTTTCAGAAAAAGAGAAATGTGTGGAAACAAGGGAAATTGAACTAAATTCGAAGGACAAACTTGTGAAGGAAAGAAAAGATAAACTCTTTGCGGAGGAGAAGAATCTGGAAAGAAGGAAAAACGAACTTGACGCCAGAGAGGAGATAGTTGGTTGCAAGGAAAATAGGCTCGATTCCAAAGAGAAAATGCTGGAGAGATGGAACAGTGTTCTTGACTCAACAAATAATGTTTTAAAGACAAGGGAAGACAAGCTTGCCTTGGCTGAGAAAATGTTGGAGACAAAAGGGGATGAACTTAAGTCTATAGAGAAAGACTTGGAGAAAAGGAAAAATGAGCTCAAATCAAAGGAGAAAGATTTGAAGGCAAGAGATGATGAGCTTACTTCAGAGAAGCTAGTTTTGGAGAAGTGGGAAAATGAGCTTGTCATGAAAGGGGAAAATCTCGAGGACTCGAAAAAGGAAGTTGAAGTGTTTAGGGGAAAGGTTATGAATCTATGCTCAGAATTTGTTTCTCTGAAAAAGCTTCCTAATCCATGTATTGAAGAATCTGGCTGTCCCAATCTACCTACTGACAAGAAAAGGAGCAGGAGAATATTTGCGAATCCAACGTTGGAATTTAGAGGGAGCTGTGCTGCTAGTGCAGAATCAGATTGCGTGGAATTGGATATGGAAAGAAATTGCAGCAGTTCCAAACGTAGTTGCATTGAAGGAAAAGACAATGGCGAGTTTAAAGCCGGCGATCTTGGTAAGTCCGCATAAATTTTGTTTCAATTTATGACCTAATCTTGGGTCTAAATATTTTACTTCTTTTCAATTTACAGTTAGCGCAAAAGATTCCAACTCTGTTGAACAAACATGATAAATGAGTGTTGCTGTTAACTCATGTTCAGCCCCGATCCTCCTCTTCGCGGACCTTCAAGGATTTTGTATGTACTCCAGATTGAAATGTTGAACGTTTTTGCTTCTTTTGTTTGTCTGTTTAGACCAGCATATAGTAATGTAAATTCTTGTAGTTCTAGTTTGTAGCTCCATGTCTTCATAGCTCTTATGTATATTTTGAAAGTTTAATCGAAACTTTGCATTTTCCTTCACCTTCGTCTTTGTTTTGTGGTTGTGATCGTCGATCACTCCAATGGTTCTGTGCAAATTTCAACTGTCGGTTTTCATGGTTATGGAGTATGGACTATAAGTAATTTAGAACAGCAACACTTTCCGTCACTACACTTCTTCGTACATATATATATACTCTCCCGTCCGGGGTCTGTGAAATTATTGAACTATAAGTAACTCTGACAATAATTTTAGAACAGAGAGAGTAGTAACTTTTCTTGTTAAAGGGATCATAATAAGAGTAGGTTTTTGATGCATACACTTGCATTAATGTTCTTGATTGATGTTGCTTTTAGTTGCGCAAACATAATCTAATTACAGCTAACATGAATCATCGGGTGGCTGAGTGAGTTTAGGACCCATTTCCGCCAGACCCTATAAAGAGGCATAATTAGTGCCCAACCCTTTTATGGTTAAGCAATGTATTATTATGAGGTTTATATTCACGTCATCAATAATCCTTTTCAGTAATAACTATTCACTTTTATTGCATTAACTTCTACAGTTAAGTTTCACATTTTTTTCCATCTCAAATTCCATCTATTTAAGATTTTAATTCTTGAAAAATAGAAAAAGAATATTGTAGTTTTGTTATCCAACACCAAGTAAAATTTAACCAAAAAAATATTGGGAATTAAAAAAAAATACCATTATTATAAAATAAATTTTGAAAGTTGAAACAGCTTATTAAAAGGCGTGACTAAAGGGGCGGAAAATATTGCTTCCTCGCGATCCTTGCGTTTATTACAACATGAATTATCATCGTAACGTAGGATCCTAATTACAATGAGCCTTTCAATTTCCTATGTTCTCTACTATCAACAATGGCTAAATTCGATCACAAAACACTAACACATGCTTCAGAAACACCCTTGTTCACTTAACAAAGAAGGGTTCTCAAAGATCAAAACTTTTCTCGAATAATCTTTACGTTTTGGCTGAAATCTTTGTTTTTGAGAGATGGGCTTTCTGGAGCAATTGTCTGAGGTGATCGTGCTGAACGAAGAAAAGAAGGATGCCCGTAAGAGTGTGATGGGTTTGTTGATGGTGGAATGGACGGAGTTTGAGGGTCACTTGACATCGACGAAGACCTGTTTGACTGAATGCTTCAGCGAACTCAACAGTAGAGAAGAGGGAATTCGTCGCAGTTAGGATGAATTTCTGTTCAAGAAAGCTTGTGTTGAGAAAGGGTTCATGAAATTGGAGGTGAAAGAAAGACTATTGAATGGGGTTTTGGAGAGGAAAGAAACCGAGAGAAAGCAGCTTGGAGAATTCCAGGGCTCTGTTGATGAAAAGCTGAAGCATATAGCTCTGCGAGAACAGAATATTAAGGGTCTGTTGGAGAGAAAAGAAAGTGAACTCAGATCCCGGGAGGAATATTTGGAGAAAAGAAAGAATGATCTTGCTTCTTCAGAGGAATATGTGCAGAAACGGTTAACTGCGCTTCTATCAAAGGAGAATGCGATCAATAGTAGGGAACATGAACTAGATGGAAAGGCGAAAGATTTAGAGGAAAGGGACATTGGTCTAGGTTCGAGAGAGGAAATTGCGGGGATTAGAGAAAAGTGGCTGGATTCCAAGGAGATGGCTTTGATGGTTAGGATAATTGAAACTGATTCAAAGGAAAAATTTTTGAATGGAAGGGAAGATAAGCTTCATATAGAGGAGAACGTTTTGGACAATAAGCGAGAGAAACTTACTTCCAAAGAAGAAACTTTGAAGAGATGAGAAGAGGAGCTTCAGTCAAATATAGGAAAAATTGCAAGAATAAAAAGTGAGCTTGATCGCGGGATGATAATCTTGAATGAAAGGGAAGTTGAACTTGAATCCAGAGCTGGAATTTTCGTAAAAAAGGAGGATGAGCTTGATTCTGGAGAGATGATTTTGGATAGTAAGGATAACGAGCTTTATTCTGCAGAGGAAGCTCTTGCGAGAAGGGAAAATGAGCTTGTCTTGAAAGAAAAAAATCTGGGGGAGTTTGAAAAGGAAATTGGGGTATTCAAGGGAAAGGTTTGGAACCTATGTTCAGAACTACTTTCTAATGACAAGTTCCCCTACCAATGTGTTGAACATTCTAATTCTCCCAATCTGACTCTATTTACAAATGTGAAAAGCAGCAGGAAAAGATTCAGGGATCCAATATTGGAGTTTAGAGGAAGTTGTGATGCTAGTGCTGAATGCATGGACATTCATATGGATGAAAAGACTTGCCGGAGTAATTCTAAACAGAGTTGCATACATGGAAAGAACAATGAACAAATCAAAGCTCATGGTTCTGGTGGTAAGTGTGTGTTACTTTCGGGTGATAAGCGTACATTACTTTCATGTGAAAATATGATATAATTTTGATTTAACACTTGTTCTTCTACATTACAGATGACACAGAAGATGCGGGGTCAGTTAAGCATACATGCCAATAGTGCTGTTGTCGAAGATTGCATTTTTCCACTCCATCCTTAATCACCTCCTCTGGACCTTACGAGTGTTTTGTAGATATTGCAGGTTCAAATGTGAACATGTTTCTTCTTTTGTATGTCTGTCCAGGCTGGCGGAGTGTTGTAAATTCCCCATTATTGGTTCACTTAGTATGGATTTCTCTTCTTGTGGTCATATTGGGATAATTTCTCGAGAGTGTGCAATATAACTCTTTTTTCAACCTTACCAGAATGCCAGATATTGTTACTTTCTTGCATAGTAAAGAGATGGATCTTAAATCATTACGAATATGGATTGCCTGATGAATGTTGGTAAAAAAGGTAGGTTTTGGCATGAGTTGATCTTGGCTTCATTTCTCTTATTTAACTATTGTAGGTGTTCTGACCGTCTCAGATACCATGGCTCAATTTTCAGTCTTTATACTGCTGTGATGGACCATCAATTTTCAGTCAAGTTTGCATGCTGATCTGTGAGTCCTGCACCATCAAAAGCGCATATGTTTCCAAATTCCTACTATTCTTTCGCTCCTGTGGAACAAAGCAGTAGTCCATGCTTTTTAGTCCTTCTGAATATGTTTGCTTTTTTCTTTTCCCCCTCCCTTTTTTGGTAAATTTCAGAGTATGTTTCAAATGTGGACAATGGTTTTTGAAGTGCATGTTATTGTGCATGACGTTCACCATCCACACTGAGTTTTACTGTCCTGCAATGCATTGCTGGTTTTTGCTATTATTATTTTGGTGCTTTGGGTAGCAAAGCTTGAGGTTTAGCGACTTCAAGTAACCTCCATATATAAGTACATTTTAATTTCTTTTACTAAGCTTGAGGGCAAGAGTACATGAAAGATAAAAGAGTTTGATGGCACTGAACAAATCATACTTTTTAATTTCTCTTGCCTAGATTGAGCTCATGCCATTATATCAGCTACATATAAATCATGTATAGTTCTCTTTGCTCTGTTCACTATTAACACGTATATTGTCATGCATTAGATCATCCATGCAAACCAAGTATTTCTTACAGTTTGACATAATATCCTTTCCACTAATATCTTCTTTATTCATAACGTCAGTTTTGGGAAAATGGATTAGTATTTGCTTCAATATAACATATATAATTTTTATTTTGGGACGGAGCTGGTAAATTTAAAGAAAGGAACAAATTAAATTGATGACGTGGAATTGCGGGAAGATTAGTATTCCCTCACTTCGTTTTAGTCGCCCTCTCAGACTTCCAGTCGGTCTCTGATCACTATACAAGCTCCACTAATTCGTCATCAGATAAAAAGTACAAGAATTTTGCGATGCATCCATCAGGTTCGGGGGCGACAAGGGTTTCACAGGAATTGATCAGTAGGATGGAAGCTAAAGAGAAGGCATTGTTGGAAAAGGAAGAGTCATCCATTCGTTTGGAGCAAAAGCTTGTTCAGCAGGAGAAAAACCTGCGAGAAATGGATATGAGAAAGGAGGAAATGGGTTCAATTTTGAAGGAATTGTCGGTCAGGGAAGAAAAATTGAAGGAACTAAAGGAGTTCATTGCTGGGCTTGTTGAGAAGCTTGGGTCTGTAGAGAAGAAGGTGCACGAAATGTTGAGGAAAAGGGCTAGAGATCTTGATGAGAAAGAGGAGGAATTGAAGGCACTGGTAGATCAAATTTAGCTAAGGGGAAAACTCTTGGGATTGAAAGAAGAGAAGCTTGAGGAAGTATTCAAAATCACAAAAGAGATCGTGGATCTGAATAAGAAGAAGAGTAACAAAAGCTGATTCTGCAGGTGCCCTAGAACAGAACTTGGCAGATCACTCTGAATCTGCTGGAGAACACTACCCGGGCAACAGAACCAGATGATGAAAGCGCCATTGCTTCAACTTCTTGGAAAAGAAAAAAGGGATCTCTTAAGGTTAACAACTAGCAATCTGTGATGTATTAACTGATTTCATTGCATTCTGGTAGTTTAGAATTTCTCCTTCCTAAGCTTTTGTTCTGATGTTGGTGTTGCTGATGAAATTTTAATTTTAGGCAAGTTAATTTGGTTATGCCTTATTTTTTCCTGTATTTGTAGTGTCTGAAATCATATCCGTAGAAAGCATGTTGTTATATCTGTATTGTAGTGTACGACTTTGTTTGTCATATGTTAGAATTTTGATAGTAGCTAGGTTGTTGAGTATATTGGGCGATAAAGAAAATAAGAAACCAACATACAAAAGAAGTCTTCTTGTGTAGCAAAGATAAATTTGTCAGCTAAAACCACTTCCAGTCTGATAGTTAAAAGTCGATCAAAGATGAAGCTGTTAGACTTATTACAAGAACTAGTATTAACTTTAGCTTAAAATGGTGAGAATATGTTTGTTATATTGGAAACTAAATGAATGAGTGACAAGCCGCCGTCACAACTAATCAAATAAATTGACCTACTTAACACTAGTATAGCGGAAAATAGGGTCATACCCACAGAGAAGAAATACTAATTATCTAGATAAATGATGATCTCAGATTTATACAATTTAAAACTAAAATAAATAAATAAAATAAAAGTAAATAATAGCAATTCAAATAATCAGACAAAGAAAACCTAGGACATTGGGTTCACGTACCGAATACTTGGCTTAATTCTCATTCATAATTATTTGGCTCTGAATTTTCATTAATCTCACAACAATTCAAATATTTAAGAACTATTCACCGTCGTGATATAATTCTCTTACTCTAATTAATCCTATGTGTACTGTCGTGACTATAGGATATAACTAAAGCACATTACAATCTCAAGAATTATTAGTTGCAAAGGCAATGCTCCTATCGTCGTGGCTCACTCCCTAAGTTTAATATTCCTATAGATTAGTGTTAACCTTCAACTGTTGTTCCTTCAGTTAAATACCTCTAAACATGCAAATAATAGCTAGCTACTTACACGAATTAATCTCACAACAATTCACATATTTAAGAACTATTCACCGTCGTGATATAATTCTCTTACTCTAATTAATCCTATGTGTACTGTCATGACTATAGGATATAACTAAAGCACATTACGATCTCAAGAATTATTAGTTGCAAAGACAATGCTCCTATCGTCGTGGCTCACTCCCTAAGTTTAATATTCCTATGGACTAGTGTTAACCTTCAACTGTCGTTCCTTCAGTTAAACACCTCTAAACATGCAAATAATGGCTAGCTACTTACACGAATTAATTCAAGCATACTAAATATCGATGAACGAAAAAGCCAAAATATAATGGATCAAAATAAACCAAGTATCGATGGCTACATCCAAGCCCTAGGTTAAAAGAATTTAGCCACTAAACAGTATAAAATATAATTCAATAATATTTATAGGCATAATCCAAAAATCTAAATTAAATAATTAAAACAAAAAAACCCGGATAAAGACAAGAAAAACCGAAGAGCTCCCCGGTTGTGCTAGCTTCCAACTTTCTCCCTGGCGGCTTTGCACTTGCAGCTGCTGCTTGCTTCCACTCTTTCTCCCCAGTGGTTCAAAGCTCAAGGTCTGGTGGTGATGACGCGTAAAGGTGACTTGGATGCTGGAGTTGCGTGGAGCTGTGAGGGGTTTTTGGTTCGGCGGTGCATGGGATGATGATGGTGATTAAGGGTGATGATGATGGATTGAGATGGTGATGCTGCGTGGTGATGTGCTGGAACGGGAGCAAGGTGGTGTTGCGTGGGATGCGTGAGGTCAAGGAGAAGTTGTGTGGTTTTGCAGCCATGGTGCGTGGGAGTGGAGCAAGGAGGAGAAGTTCGGTGATGTGATGATGGGAGTGGAGGAGAAAGCTACCGAAGTTGACGGCTGATGGATGGTCAAGGTGGTGGTCGGCGGAGGTGATCAAGGAAGCAAAAAGGTGGACGGCGAGGGGAGTGTTTTGCAGCCGTGAGGGTTTCGGTCAAGTTCGGTCCAGTTCGATTGTAAAAATAAAACCCTAATCCTCCTTTTCTATGCTTCCGTCAAACGCTACTACTTGGAGAGAAAGAAAACTTGTTTCCCAAATAATATTAGGATTAAAATTCTTACCAAATTCAATCCCAATCACAACCGCATCAGCTTGCTTCGGCCAAACCCTAAGAAAAAAAAACAAAAATTGTAATTCAGTCCTCTAAATCTTCAAGTGCTTCAATTTCTTCCTTGTCAATTTATCAAATCTTCAATTCTTCCCTTTAAGTTGCTTTTATCTTCATTTTAGCCCACAATTTCAACAATTCCTCCTTTTGAGTACAAAACCTACAAATAAAGATAAAATCATATAAATAACATATTTGTACTCAAAATTTATTGCAAAAATCACAATTTAGGGATATAATAAATAGGTAAAATATAATCATATCAATGGGGTGTCTGACTAGGATGGTAGTCATCATTGTTGGTTCAGTTGTTTATGATTTCGAAGGAAAGAAGGAGATAGAATGAAATATCTTTGGTACATTTCACATTCCCTCAATTTTCCTTTCAGTTAACTATTGAGCTTCCTTAATATAGAGTAATTTGGTTGGTTTTTGTCAAATGGAAGAAGCCATATGCGCTCTAAAATTCCTGTACAATCAGAAAAAAAGAACATATGTCCCTGAATCCCTACTGCTATGCCTTGCCTATGGCACAAAGCAAACTTTTCAGATCCATCTGAATATGTTTTCATCAGTGGACAACACTTGTGTGAAGTGCTTGTTTTTGGGTTTGATAATCATCAGCCAAACTGAGTTCTAATGTTCTGCAACAGATAGCTGGTTTGTCCATTATCATCAGGTGTTTTAGGTCAGCAAAGCTCGAGGCCTCAACCATCTTATAAATTTGCATGTTCTCCCAGGGCCATTACTACATTTTCCGCCCTGCTTTGTAAAAGATCGAACTTCTATGAAGTATGAAGTTGTTGCATACATGTCTCTTTTTGTAGAAATTGCTTTTAATCTTATCACGAAACATTCGGTTGATTCCTTAAATTATGTTGATGTTCCAATCTGGAGCTTTTGCCTTGATGTTTTACCTTTTTATCTGACTTTGTTTAGTAATTATTAAGAAATCTTCATGTTTGCTTTACCGGAAAAATTTAAAGAACATATACGGTTATAAATCGACATATTAAAGGATCGGGACGTGTACTAAACTGGAGGGAATCTACTCTGCAGTCCTCTATATGAAATTAACCTTCCTTCCTTCTTATTTTGATATTTGCTCTGTGCTTATATAAAATAATTTAGGGAAGTGGATAGTTTAAATAAGACAGATTTTGTCCTAAGATTTGGGTAGAAATCTTCTTCAATTATATATACTGTAGAATTCAAAATCCTACATTAGCATTGTTATTGGCGTTCTCGGAGGACATTCCAAGCTTGAGCCTTTTGGAAGATTCCGTAGAAGATAAAGAGCTTGATTCCGACCTCCTACTACTACTGCACGGCGTGGATGAAAAGCACCATCAATCTGCAAACGCAACAAATTGGGATCAGGCGCTGGACTACGACCTCAGGAAGTCCACTCTGAACAAAAGGAAGGGGCACCGAAGGAGGAGACGATATATAGCTGCCATTCATTTAAGGCTTGGGATACCAACTGATACGGAGATGGCTATTCCGATAATATAGACGAACAGCATAGGTCATCCGCAGGAGCTTCTATATGATATTATTGACATGATTTAAAAGTTATTTTAAATCTATCCGTTCTAGTTAACTCAAGTTTTCAAGTGAGTGATCGGCTATTCTCACGCACATGCGAACTACTAATAGACTGCAAATAGCATAAAGGAAAAAGTTTTGCATGCTCTGTGAGTCCCGCACCATCAAAAGCACAAATGTGGGCAATGGTTTTTGAAGTGGGTGTTATTGCTGGTTTTTCCGTTGTCATCCTGGTGTTTTCTGTAGCAAAGCGTGAGGTTTAGCGACCTCAAGTAACCTCCATGAGTACCTTTCTTCTTTGCTTAGTAGATAACTTTTGATTATATATAATGTCATTGCACCCAGAAATTGCTTCACTTTAAAATTCTACAAACATTCACATGGTGGTTTCAAACTGATGGGGTTTTTCATATTAAAAAAATAAGCAGAAAAGTAGGACTTTTACAGCTATGGTCGAACTTAGGGAAGGAGGGAGTGCACAAAACAACATTAAACGGTAAAAAGATAAAGTTGACGTAAGTAATATGTAACCCAAAGTAAGATAACTCAAAGTAATATGAGGATTTATCGGAGGAGAAAACTCGACATGGAGCCCAATAAGTAAGATAAGACTCATCTGGACTCAAAAGTTCAAGCTAATGAGTCCTCAATTTATCTTACTTATTAACTGATTCACATGTCCTCATGCCTCCGATGTGGGATTCACAACCCTTGCCACATGACCCTCAACATTCTCCCCCGTCATGGATAATCTCCACATCGGACTTCTAAATTATCTTAACAAGCACAAATCCGTACTCCCCCGAGTAACTGGGACACCCATCCCTACGCTTCTGCTCGTAGTGGGCCTTTGGCAGCTGGGGTTCAGTCAGATCAACCAAGATAATTTGGGCTAAATCACCCACCCAACTGGCCCAACCTAGGCTTGATACCACTCTTGTGGCGGAACGGGCAAAAATATAATAATCCAGCGGAAACGAACCTGAGAAAAAATCTCATTTCCTACTACCAATAAAATAGCACAACCAATCAAACAAGC